GGAAGAACTTCAGACATCTCAGTCCAGAAATATGCTATATAATATACTGCGCAGAACCCTCAAGCTCCCAGGCCTCTGGTAGAGGACCCGAGCTCAGAGGATGAAAGAGACCACCCGCGGAGGGTGAGAAGGGAATTATATATATACGTATATATCTATATAAATATAAATTTTTTCATCAATCATTGTGATGACTGAGAATCTTGATCAGCATCATAACTTAAATATTTGGTAGCTCAGTGGCTCAGTTGGTAGAAGTGTTGTTTCTCAGTTGCTGAATCAATTCCCAGTCTGGAACCTTTCTGGGTGGTGTTTATATGTTCTCCTTCTGCATGGATGGGTTTGTTCCCAATATTCCAGTTTCCTCTCACAGACCAAAAACCTGCACCTTAGCTTCACGGGTACACACTGTACATCTCAAATAAATGCTTTTTAAATGTCATTATTTTTAACAAAATCATGTTCAACTCTGAGTATTTTCAACAGCCTTTGAAAGTGGGCCTGTCTGTCGGAAGGCACTGTCCATCTAGAGGGGGCCACTTTTTCTCCCCACTCCGCCCTTGGGTGGGCCCCTTGTGCACTTTTCCAAATCTCACAGTGAATTCATAAACTTTCACATACAAAACTAGTTTTGTCTGTTATATTATTTATCGCTAACTTTAGAAACAAGGTTGTCCAATTAAAATAGTTAGTCATATAATTTATTTAAAACAGAACACCAGAAGTCTACCTCATACCTGCCAACATCTGCTGGCAGCAATGAGGAACACCTGTTCATGTTTACAAGCATCTGTGGGGTGAAGCAGTTCTGGGGAGGTCCAGGGGTCCAGGGGTATACTCCTCTGGAAAATTATTTAAACGACATTTTTATTACATTATTATTTGTAGACACTTGCGGCTCCCTCTAGATGGACAGTGCCTTTAGTATTTGTTTATACTGACTAAGCCTCAAACCAACCCTGCATATAAATTTGAGTAATTGATTTTTTTTCCTGAAATTATGTAGATTTATTTGGATTTTCCCTAACAATAGAACAATCTTGTGTTTGTTTCTGCAAAACAGCTATGACTATTTTTTATTATTAATTATTTTT